TGGCTCTGCCCATGCCCATGGGCTTGGGGTACAGGGAGGACAGGTAGCCACACTGCAAAACTGACCACACTTGCATCAAGGAGATGGGTTCCTGGGCAGACAGGTTGGGCATAGCAGGGGCCTGACCTGTGAGACTCAGCCAGACTCAAGCAGGCTCCAAATAACGCGGGGCCCAGGGAGTCCAACCCCACGAAGCAGCTCCCACCAAGAGGAGACCACACCGCGGCCTGGGCCCATCTAGGACACAGGCATCCGACCCGCAGAGGCGGCCTGGTAGAGGCAGGCTAGGCAGCAAGGCCGGGGAAGGACTGAGATCCCGCTGGAGTTAGGAGCGGCGGGCTGAGGATCCTGACCACAGGGCTTGTGGTGGCAGCAGAGGAGCAGCAGTGCTGGATACTGGGAGTGTGTAGCCGACAGCCAAGAGAGAGCCGGGAGGTAGAGCTGCGAGCCCCTGACTCCTTGCCCCTCATTCTAGTGACAGACAGCCGTGAGACTGCACTCAGGGTAGCAGTCCCAGTGAGGGCGGGCGGCGTCTAGTGAGGGCGGGCAGAGTCTAGTGAGGGCTGGTGGCGTCTAGTGAGGGCGCGGGGCTTTTAGTGAGGGCTGGCGGCGTCTAGTGAGGGTGCGGGGCGTCTAGTGAGGGCGGGCGGAGTCTAGTGAGGGCGCGCGGCGTCTAGTGAGGGCCGGCGGCGTCTAGTGAGGGCGGGCGGCGTCTAGTGAGGGCGCGCGGCGTCTAGTGAGGGCGCGCGGCGTCTAGTGAGGGCGCGCGGCGTCTAGTGAGGGATCGCGGCGTCTAGTGAGGGCGGGCGGCGTCTAGTGAGGGCGGGCGGCGTCTAGTGAGGGCGCGCGGCGTCTAGTGAGGGATCGCGGCGTCTAGTGAGGGCGCGCGGCGTCTAGTGAGGGCCGGCGGAGTCTAGTGAGGGCGCGCGGCGTCTAGTGAGGGATCGCGGCGTCTAGTGAGGGCGCGCGGCGTCTAGTGAGGGCGGGCGGAGTCTAGTGAGGGCGGGCGGAGTCTAGTGAGGGCGCGCGGCGTCTAGTGAGGGATCGCGGCGTCTAGTGAGGGCGCGCGGCGTCTAGTGAGGGATCGCGGCGTCTAGTGAGGGCGGGCGGCGTCTAGTGAGGGCGGGCGGAGTCTAGTGAGGGCGGGCGGCGTCTAGTGAGGGCCGGCGGCGTCTAGTGAGGGATCGCGGCGTCTAGTGAGGGCGCGCCTGACGTCTAGTGGGAGGGATCGCGGCGTCTAGTGAGGGCGGGCGGAGTCTAGTGAGGGCGGGCGGAGTCTAGTGAGGGCCGGCGGAGTCTAGTGAGGGCGCGCGGCGTCTAGTGAGGGCCGGCGGAGTCTAGTGAGGGCGCGCGGCGTCTAGTGAGGGATCGCGGCGTCTAGTGAGGGCGCGCGGCGTCTAGTGAGGGCGGGCGGAGTCTAGTGAGGGCGGGCGGAGTCTAGTGAGGGCGCGGCGTCTAGTGAGGGCGGGCGGATCTAGTGAGGGCGCGGCGTCTAGTGAGGCGCGCGGCGTCTATGAGGGCCTGTAGTCTATGAGTCGCGCGGCGTCTAGTGAGGGCGGCGAGTCTAGTGAGGGCGGCGGCGTCTAGTGAGGCGGCGAGATCTATGGGGCGCGGCGTCTAGTGAGGGCGGGGGAGTCTAGTGAGGGCGGTCGGAGTCTAGTGATGGCGGCGGAGTCTAGTGAGGCGCGCAGCGTCTATTGAGGGCGGATGAGTCTAGTGAGGGCGCGCGTCGTCTAGTGAGGGATCGCGGCGTCTATTGAGGGCGCGCGGCGTCTAGTGAGGGCGCGCGGCGTCTAGTGAGGGCGGGCGGAGTCTAGTGAGGGATGGCGGCGTCTAGTGAGGGCGCGCGGCGTCTAATGTGAGGATCGCGGCGTCTAGTGAGGGCGTGCGGAGTCTAGTGAGGCGGGCGGTTCTAGAGGGCATCGCGGCGTCTAGTGAGGGCGGGCGGCGTCTAGTGAGGGCGCGCGGCGTCTAGTGAGGGATCGCGGCGTCTAGTGAGGGCGGCGGCGTCTAGTGAGGCGCGGCGTCTATTGAGGGCGAGCGCGTCTAGTGAGGGATCGCGCGTCTAGTGAGGGCCGGGGAGTCTAGTGAGGGCGCGCGGCGTCTAGTGAGGGCGGCGGTAGTCTTGAGGGCGCGGCGTCTAGTGAGGCGCGGAGTCTAGTGAGGGTGCGCGTCGTCTAGTGAGGCGCGCGGCGTCTAGTGAGGTCCTGCGTCTAGTGAGGGTGCGCGGCGTCTAGTGAGGGCGTGGAGTCTAGTGAGGCGCGCGGCGTCTAGTGAGGGCGGGCGGAGTCTTAGTGAGGGCCGCAGCGTCTAGTGGGCGGGGCGAGTCTAGTGAGGGCGGGCGGAGTCTAGTGAGGCGGCGGAGTCTAGTGATGTCGGGCGGAGTCTCTGTGAGGGCGGGCGGAGTCCCCCCCTTTTCGGGTGGGAAAGGGCGGTGGAGTCTAGTGAGGGGCGGCGGCGTCTAGTGAGGGCGGGCGGAGTCTAGTGAGGGCGCGCGGCGTCTAGTGAGGGCGGGCGGAGTCTAGTGAGGGCGGGCGGAGTCTAGTGAGGGCGGGCGGAGTCTAGTGAGGGCGGGCGGAGTCTAATGAGGGCGCGGGGCGTCTAGTGAGGGATCGCGGCGTCTAGTGAGGGTGCGGGGCGTCTAGTGAGGGCGGGTGGGCTGAGGTTGCGCGGCGTCTAGTGAAGGCGGGTGGGCGTCTAGTGACGGCGCGCGGCGTCTCGTGAGGAGTGTAGCATCCTACATGAGGCCCTTCCTTCCCTGTGTGCTGTACTTGGCGCTGGAGAGAACTCAGGAACAGGCCCGCCCTGGCAGACACCACGCACACCACGCATTTGAACACAGCTGGGCAGGAGCACATGTCGCCGCAGGGAATCCCAAGGCCTTCAGGAGGGGAAGAGTGGACCCCAGCCTCCAGCTCTTGTTCCATGTAAAAGATAGTCCCTGGAAGGGGATGTCAGTTGCCCAGAGGGAAGGCCTGGGAAAGGACTACTGACTGTGACATCTGACTGGGGTTCCAGCAACAGAGAGGGGGAAAGGTCTTGGTGGGTCAGGGTGTGGAGGTGACTGAAGTTACCTACCTTGGGACCAGGGCCCACCGAAAGGTTTTTCCTGGACTGAACAGAGGAACACGTTGCAGTTCCTCTGTGTCCACCAGAGGGCACCCATTCCCTGCTAATCTTTTCACCTGGGCCCCAGTGGGAGGCCATTCGGGACTTTGGGAGTGGGCAAAGTGACTCTGGACCCTGAAGCATATCCTCAGGCAGTGGCTAATTGTGTGCCAGGCTCAGGACTAAGGGCAATTGTGTTCTGCTGGCAGCAGCAAATCCTGTTCCAGGTCAAACTTTGGCGGGATGAGGCAGCTGAGGCAGCAGCTATGCTGATGTCAGTGTCTCACGGCAACCTAGGAAGGCCACCTTGGGCCCTGGCTCATGCCTCATCCTATTGTTCCCATTTTGTAGAGGAGAGGATTGAAGCCCACAAGGTTCAGTTCCTTGCCCCATGGTAATGTGGCTGCCCTGTCTGTGTGCGACCAGGGCTCAGCTCCTCCCCTTTCAGGGGGCGTCACAGTAATGGTTCTGAGCCGGCCTGCAGGCTGAGGGAGCTGGGTTAGACCTGCTCCCAGCTCCAAGCGCGGTCTGCCCCGTGTGGCCTTCCTGCATGGCCTTTACCTGCATTCCTGCCTTAGAGACATCCTCCTGGGCGCCAAGCTTGGAAACATGGCGGTACTGAGCTGCCCTAGGCGGCAGGACAGAGAGGAGCTGGTGTTTTGGCTCCGGACCCTCCCTTTCTTCCCTGGATGAACCAGAATGCAGACACCCAGGCTCTGCAGGGGGCATGGGGTAGACACAGGTCAGAGGTTCCCTCCTACCAAAGCCTCAACCTACCCCAATCCTGGTGGCAGCTGTCTGGGGACATGCTGGACAGGCGGCCTGAGCGGCCCCATGAGGGTGACAGCTCCGGCCAGAGAAGGGCAAGGTCTCCCGAGAACTCTGGTACCCGGTTCGAACCACAAAAGCCGGGAGGAGCATGGAATGCAGCGGACACGGCATTGCAGGAGCCGGTGTGCTGAGAGGCAGGTGGAGGGAACTGGCCTCTTGCTGTCTTCACTACACACATTTCCCTTCTTCCCAGTCTCCTCTCAACCCAGGCCAGACCTCTGCAGACACCTCCTCTCCGGTGAGTTTTCCTGCAGAAACCCCTCGATGGCTTCCACAGGTCCTACGTCGGTAGCAGGCCCACTGGCAGCACCTGTCCCGACCCCTGCAGCTCTCATTGGAGGATCCCAGAAGGTTCCTGGTGAGCGCTAAACCTCACCTCCACCTCTGAGGGCTTGGGCTGAGGTGGCGCTTCCTCCAGTTGGCTATCCTGACCCACTGCTCACAACCCGTGTGAAAATCCAAACAGCATAGTATCTTCTCCAACTGTGTTCAGGGGGAAGGCAAGATGGGCCTGCCCAGCTAACCTAAGGGACCTGGAGGCCAAAGGTTGGATGACAGCCAGGCTGCACCAGAGCCCTGGAAAACCAAAGCACCAGCAATCCTAAGGGGCCAGCAGTTATGATATGTCACCAGCAGGGGGAGCCACACCGGGGAGCTAAATGGGTGAGGCCTGCAGAGGCAAAGCCACCCCTTGGTGGCATCTTGGGAAGCTTCACAAGTTCTCTCTTGGGCCTGTGCCACCACCACCCTGCACTCCACGAAACAGCAGTCCCGTGTGTGGCCTCTTCCTCTAGTGTCGGGGACTTATACCCCCACCTCCAAGGAACCCAGTGAAGGAGTCCTCATCCCCAGTTAAGGCTTCTTGGAGCAATCACCGACTGCCCTGCAAGCAGTTCCCACACACCTGTATCTCAGTCCCTGAACACCCACCAGAGATCACATCCAACTGCTTCAACCCACTGTCCCCAGGATCATCCCCCCTCCCATCCTTGTGCCCTGAAGGTCTTCTAAGGAAACTGAAACAGACAAACCAGGCTTTGAGACAGCTTTGTTAGAACAACTCAGCAAAATAAAATTCCTGTTTATTGTTGGACAACATTGTTTCACACATACATCAAACAGGCCAAAAAAAATAAACAGCAACTTCATAGACAAAAAAGGAAAAAAAGGAAACCTTTTAATCTTTGGCCTTTTAACCATCTCATACAAACCAACTACTTATAGTACAGCTAAGTACATACACAACAAAGGTACTGGAATGCTCGGAATACGATTGTTTTTCTGTTGTCGTTTTCGCTTTTTTACAAGGTTTTTTTTTCTCCTTTGAGATTATAATGAACATGGTCACACCACAAGTAAAGTCGGAAGTAGGACAGAGAACGCTCCGAAGGCTGGTTTGGTCATCCGAGATCATTAAAATGGCTGACCCTAACAATATGTACAAAAATATAAAATGTAAATAAAAAATACAAACAAATTTCCTTTTAAAGTACTTTTAAGAAAAAAAGCAGGGCCTTGGAAGTTTTGGTTCTTTTTTCCTCCCCTGTTGCAAATTCTCATGGTTTGGGTTGGGTAGTGGAGAGCGCGTCGTTCGTCTGCAGGTGGCACTGCCCGCATTGGGCGGGCGGGCCGGCCTCTCTACTCGAAGGTGACCACGTTTAGATTCTGAGACGGGAAGTGGAGGGTGAATAGGTCACGGCGGCCTTTTTTTTTGTTTTTAGTTTAAGTTTTCCTTTTTTGCTGTCTAATCATCCTCGTCGGTCTTCTGCTTCTTGGTATCGACATCATCATCCTGGGCAGAAAAAGACTGTCAAGGCCCCTCCAACCCCAGTGGCCGTATCTAGCCCACTGCCTCAGTTCCCACCGGCAGACCAAGGACCAGGGACCCCCAGGGCCACAGCCCAAGGCCTCTGTAAAGTTGGGCCCAGGACTGTTCCTTCCTATTAAGATTCAGGACCACACAATGCCCACCTATGAAGTCAGAATCACTCTGTCCACAGTTTGAGAGCCTCAGGCACAGACTCAGCTAGAGGCAGGAGGGCAGACCCAAGATGCCAAACCCCACGTTCTTTTCAAGCTGGAACCCACCTCATCATCTTCAGCTGCCCGCTTGCCCGTAGCAGACTCAGCTTCCTCATCTTCATCTCCATCCTCCTCCTCACCTGGAGAGATTCAAAGGCCAGATAAAGCACACTGCCCTCCCCTACTGTGGCTCCTGGGGAAATCCCGAGGAAGCTGTGGAGTACCAAAAGGTCCCAGCTCTGCCTCTACTGCCTGCAACTGGGCCAGTCAGGGCACCCATACCCACTGCACAGGTGGGCATCCCCAGAAGACAGAGGTCCAAGCAGCTGGACCCCAAGAGACGAGCCAACAGATCTTTCAGAGCTGCACGAAAAGACACTTTCAGGTGTGAGAGTGAGTGGGTATGGGCACAGCTCCATGTCAGGGAGACCCAAGTCTACAGGTGGAAGCCCAGGACCATGTGGTCCACAGGCCCCAAGTATCATGGTCCCACTCCCAAAAGGCCCCACTCCTTCCCCTTCTGCCAGACAAGACCGGGAAATAGTACCACCGGAGAAAGAGACAGTACTCACCATCACCTTCTTCTTCCTCCTCCTCTTCCTCCCCACCTTCTTCCTCTTCTTCATCTACCTCGTTGTCAGCCTCCTGCTCCCCATTTTCCTCATTCTCCTCGACAGAAAACCAGCCAAGTCATTATCAACTGACCCAAGGCTGGGCAGAATGCTTGCCCCAGGCCTCCCACCAGAGGCCACCGATGCATCTACAGCCCAGCCCAGCCCTCCCCGGAGACCCTTCTCCAGGGAACACCCCCCAGGGCTCCATAGTGAAACCTGCACATTAACTGCCCTAGGGGCTCAGGCTTCCCCTACCCTGAGCCAAGTCCAAACTCAGAGCAGGGGAGCTCCTCTGCATCTATTCTTGTTCAGGGCGTGGCTCAAAAGGTTTTACATATATTTAACTGGCAATAATCGCGCCTCAGGTAAACCTCATTGGCTACAATACTGCCACTGTGCAAAACTACATATATATATGTTTTAAGTAGAGCAAGAAAAACTGTGGGGCAGTAGCTGCCACGGCTCTGGAATAAGGCGGACACTCACCGCATTCCCATTAGCAGGGGCGTCTCTTCCATTTTCCGCCTCTTCCACAACTTCCTTCTTCTCCTTCAAGTCCTTCATAAGGGAAGAAGGAATCAGTAAGTCTTCTGAGCAACCCAGGACAGGCAAAGGCTCTGACAACTAACTACAGGTCCATAAGGCTGCTCTGTCCATCCCAAGAGTCGCATGCGACATGTAGAGAAGAACCTGACACCCCTGCGGGACTAGTGTCTCCTGCAAGTCCAGTGGAAGGAAGGCCCGCGGGGGCATCTGTGATTGGGTTTCCCATCCTTTAAGACCCGCTACAGCGGGTTCCCACTGCCCCCTGGCGCTTCCTAGGAGCCATGTGGCGCCACAGCTCCAACCCGTCGGGCCGGGTGGATGAGCCCTGAGACTGCTTCCAAGTGCAGGGAGCTCCGCCCTGCGAGCCGTTTTGGAAGGCTACAGGTTATGTTCCAGAATAAATAAGGTTAGGAAGAAGGAGCCTGCGCGCAGAGAGAGCCCCACCAGCGCGCCAGCCTGGGAAAGCCAGTGAGGCCGCACCGACTGGCCCAAGCTGCAAGCCCCGGCCAGGACAGGTCGCTGAAGACGCCAAAGCGCCCCGAGCCCCCAAATCCGACCCGCAGTTCAAGGGGCCGCAGACTGATGCTTGGCCGTGCCCCACGCCAAGGCCTGCCGCCGACTCAGAAGCGCTGCCCGGAACTACCCAGTCTCAGCCTCCTCGCAGCGGTTCGGGGTCCGGACCACACCTCAGGGGTGGGACTCCACCTGTGATCTAAAAGGCAGTGCCGCCCCGGGTGTCCCTTAACTTTTTCCACACCACACGGCCGCAAACACCAACAGGTATCCCGCAGCCGGGACTGCGGGAGCCCCTCGGCCGCTGTCCACGAGCGTTCCCGGGCCCACCTGTTTGCCCTCTCCGTCCTGCCCGCCCGGCTCCACGGACCCTGGTGCCGCCCGCTCTCGCCCCCTGGCGGCCGAAGCCCCGGGGAGCAGGTGGGGGCAGGGAGGTCGCGGCGCGCAGGCGCGCATCCCCCGCCCGGCGGGCTTTGCGCGCGGGCCTCAGTACGCATCGCGCGCAGAGAGCACGTGGCCTGGGGCAGCCGAGTGCGTCCCCGGCCTTGGAGACTCCGGGCCGGCAAGCAGAGGTCGCCGTACCACGCGCGCGAGTGGCGCCTCAGACAGGGGGACTCTCAACTCGACGCCCCCACCCCCCCCCCCGCTGCCACCCCGGCAGGCAAGATGCGCGGGGCCTGAATGACTGCATTTGGCGGGCAAAGTCCTGTGGGAGATCGCCCCGAAATCCAACCGGCTGCGTTAGTCTGAGACTGTCGGGGATGCACATCTCCGGGTACTCATCGCCCTCGCGGTAAATCATCTTTGGTGCTTCGGAAAAAATCGAACACCGAGGCCCAGCACTAGGAACGGTGTTCTCCCCGCATAAACTGGTCCCTGGACTGAGCCCAGAAGGCGCCAACAGAGCCCCTGCGGAGATCCGAGGCCCAAGTTCGGCTCTGCCAAGGCAATCACCCCTGGGAGAGCCAGAGGTGACGCCAGGGGCACAAGGGCTAAAGAGACGCCAAGGTGACTCGCGCCAATCCCCATAGGGGCACCAGGAGCGCGAACGAGGGCCGAAAGATTAAGAAAAAGCCAGTCCGTCTGAGACTCTGCGCTCCCGCCGAGGGCGGAAACCGTATCCAGGGTGGACAGCGGGACCAAGGCGGCGCTGAGAACAGGAGCGGAGCCGCGCCAGCCGCGCAGGACCTCGTAACCATGGACAGTTAAACCTGCCTCGGGTCCCGGGTACCCCCCCAGTTCGGCCCTACCACCGGTCTGTCGCGGCCGCGGTGTTGGTCCGCGTCGCCCCGAGCTGCGGCGCACACGGTGCTCCCGGGCAGCCGCCGGGGGCGCACATCGTTGCCGCGGCCTCGCGCTTCACTTTCTCTTTCCTCCCCCTACGACGCGTGGGCTCGCCTCCACAGCCAAACCCGGCACCGCGGTTGCATGACTGAAGCTGGGCGGCTACTCCCGGCGCACTCACCTCGAAGGGCGCCCACCCCCGCCTCCCCGAGCGCCCAAAGCCGATAATAACCCCGTCACACCTCCGCGAGAACGACCGACGTCGCGGCCCTCCGGCCCGCCGCCCCATCCGCCTTATCAGGGCTTAGTCCAGATAAACCACCTCGGGTCCGCTGCAAGGCGCAAAACCGGCGGCCTGGAGCCTAACAAAGAGGAGCGCGGCCGGCGAGCGCTCGCAGCCACTTCCCGCGGCCGGCCCGCGCCCCAGCACGCGCCCCCCAGCACTTCCGATTCTCAACGCGCTCGAGTTTCAAAGTTATTTCCGTGCGCCCGGCGGGCCGACGACCCCCAGCGAGGCCCTTCCCCTCCCGCCGCCACTCGGACGGCTCACAGACTAGTTTCGAGAGCACTGAGCCAGCCTCCGCGCCTAAGCCGCCTCTGCTCACTCCCCGACGGGCATCACGTCTGCCCGCGGCAATTCCCGCCCCCTCCCCCGCACCACACAAAGAGTGGGCTGCCTGAGGGCACCGCGCCGGGGGCGAGCTGTTTCACCGCAAGAGGAACCAACAGCGGGCTTGAAGCAGTCCAGCTGTTGCGCTCCAAACACCGCCCGGGCGGCGGCGCGCGGACCCCGAGGGGGCGGGCGGCGTCCAACCTCACCTTGGTGGTGATTTCGGAGCTGGTGTCTACCGCTGTGTCTGACATGGTGGGGCACGCCGGTGATCCGATGCGGGGGATTAAAAAGAAAGCGAGATTTCAAGGACTCTGGCGATAAAGCTGCCGGAGTCTGCGACGGCGAAGGAGACGCGCGGCGGAGGCGGCTGCGGCGAGCAAGGAGTCGGACGAGGAACAATGCAAAGATGGCTTTTCAGAGCAGCCAGTGGGGGACTCACGCGGCGCCAGAAGCTTTAATATAGATTAGTGGGCGGCGCTCGGCTTCCCATGCCCAGACGCTATTGGCTGAGCGCAGGGAGCGGGCGCTCGCTCATTGGTTCGATTCCGAACAATGGACAAGCGTGCTTAAAGCGGCAGTGCCCCGGCGCGTCCCGCGCTGCGCAGTCGCCGGTCGCACTGTCATTCAAGGCCGGAGTTTGTCGGGGTCTCAGCGGCGCCGAGGCCGCGGGGGAGGGGTGCGCGGGCGCGTTCCAGAGGCGCGCTCCCGCAGCTGTTTTGCTGGGGCTGCTGACGCAGAAAGCCAAAGCGCGGCAAAGCTGCCCGCCCAGCTACCTTCCCTCCCCCTCTCGCCCTCCCCGCGACTGCTCGGAAGGAGGTGGGAGGGAAGAGGGGGCGGCGGCGGGCGCACGACGGCTGCCAGCGCGGGGGAGGGGAAGGCGGGGTGCTGGGCCGCGCTCGCCCCGGGCGGTGCCCAGCCCAGTGCCCGCGGAGGTGCCCGCCCCCCGCTCCTGGGCGCCTTCGATCAAGTAGTTTCCCAGTGCAAGTGGACGGAAGCTCCACGACGAGCAACAAGGTCACGAGGCCGAGACCCGGGCACCTGGGCCGCACCGTCCCTGTCCCACGCCCTCGCGCCCGCCCAGGGCAGGGCACCCCTAGTCCCGTGGGCAAGTGACCCCGTCTGCCCACCACCAGGTCTGACGTCCGTCGGCCAAGCCAGTCAACAAGCGGGCACCGTGCCAAGCACACAGGGATTCATGCATCAAGGGGACTCGATGAGCGATGCCGGCTCCTGCCCTCGAGTGGGACAGTCCGCGGGCCCCGCACGGCATAGCGGTCCCCTGACTTTAGAGCTCTGGGCAGGGTCTATCCCGAGCGGTCACTGCCGTCGCGACAGTCTCAGGGCAGCCTCCTTCCAGCGGCCCGCAGGGCCATCTAGTCTACCCTCCCACCCCACTGCTGGACTGCGATGGGCATATGGACATTGTGGAGTTACTCGGGGGAAATAATCGTCTCTTGAGCCAGTTGGGCTAATCTTTGGGTTTTAGGGGGCCATGTAGAGAAACTTGGGGGACCATTTAGAGAACCATGCGGAGGCCCGAGAAAGAGGAGCATCAAGACGCCACATTCAAGATGGCGCTGAGCTCGGCAAGTGTGGCGTGACGTAGCGATCTAGCTCACGTGGGCGATCCAAGAACGACAGGCTACGCCGGCCTTGTCGCCACCGCACTTGGTTGTCGAACTAAGAAATCCACTGTATGGGAAAAGAGACCAGAATAGGTAAAAAGATATTCCTGAAATTCACCTGTGCCACACACAAAATGGCGAGAGGTAGCGTTCGTCCCTGTGCTGCCAAAAGGGGGCGCCCGACACGGAAGGCGGGACTCCGGAGAGACGAGCGCACATTGGCCGAGAGTGGCGGGCGAACACAAAGTTGACGCTTTGCGTCCTGCCATTGGCGGTTCCTGCCGTCTGTCTCTCGGGTGCCGCCGAACTGGGAACGAGGAAAACCCGGAGTGTAGGATCGGGGAGGGCGGACGATGCCAAGTCCAGCCAAGCTTGCGCTCGGGGCTAGGAGACTGAGTCTCCCTTCTCGGTTTCATTAGGTAATGGGCGAGATGGCTCTATCCCCACAGCGGGGCTTTGCTGAGCTTAGCACGCACTCTCCCGGCGGGGAGGAGGAGCGCAGTGCCGGGCGCCACCCGGTCTCCCGCACGCATCCGGCCCGCATCCCTGTTCCCAGGTGCCAGTCTGGCCGCTGCACTGTTGGCCTTTCCCGAGCGAGTTTTACTTTAGGAAGAAGCCCGGGCTCCCAGTACTTTGGCCTGAAGAAACGTGGGGCAGATGCTAGGCAGGGCGTGGATACCGCTCCACCACCCGCTGCCCAGCGTCACTTTCCCGTGCGGCGGCGAAGGAACGCCCGCTGGGTCTCCGCCCTGCCCCCAGGCGCACCAGTGGCTCGAGGTGGCATTCTCCTCTGGGCAGGCGCGCCCGAAATACTGGGGACTCTCACAGTGCTGTTCTGGAGAACCACGCTTCTCAACTCTTTGTCCGTTTCCCTTCCTCCTACCACCAGTCTGTCTTGACCGCCGCTTACACCTGGGGCGGCCCTTCACAGAAAGGAACGGCTCCTTGGCCTCAGCCCCGGTGACCCCCTCCTTTGTTTCACATTCTCAGAGAGTTGGAGGGATTATGCGTCTGTAAACAGGAAGACAGAGCGCCTTCCACCTGCGGCGCATCCAGTTACCCTCGAAGGGATTGTTTTTTCCACAAAACCTGGATGCAGTGAGAGCCTTGTCTGTACCACCTCTAAGCATCCCGGCTTCCCCCTAGTTTGGATGGTGGCCTTTGGGCAGTGGCCTGTGTCCACAGCTGAAATCCAGACTTGACAATTCTGGATTCAGGCCGTTGTGGGAGCGGGAAGGTCAAACACCCAGGAGGACCTGATGAATGTGAATTTCCCTCTAAGAATTGCTTTGTGTGACATTCCCATGCAGGTGGCTTTGCTACAAGTGGGTGAGGAAGGCTCATGCCCACTGGTCCAGACCCACCACTTAAATTTCCCACTCACTGAATGGCCACTGAGTACATGGCAGTGAGACTTTGGCACATGCTTCATTTTCATGTACAAGGTGGGTAGGAGTTATGGAGTTGAACCATATGAAACATGTTTATGTAGGTCAAAACCAACTGAAAATCAACACATTTACAGGTTCAATATCGGATATAACCCTCCTTTTAACAAATTATAAAAGCAGACCTACGGATTTTTGCCAGGAACTTGGAGTTACCCACTGGATCAGTGATGGAGCCTAGGCTAAGTCTGAAAACAGGGGAATCTGCATTTTTAGATGAACCCTGGGGTGGAATTTGGCTCCATGGACTTTCCCCTTAACCCGGAAGTGTGGCATCTGACAGCTCATAAGTCATGGAGTTATTGAGGCTGTGAAGAACTGTGTTCCTTCAGCAACAGGTAGCTCCCTACCTCTTTTGCCATTGCTTTTTTTTTTTTTTTTTTTTGAGACAGAATCTCGCTCTGGCATGACCTCAGCTCACTGCAACATCCGCCTCCTGGGTTCAAGCAATTCTCCTCAGCCTCCCAAGTAGCTAGGACTACAGGAGCATACCACCACGCCTAGCTAATTTTTGTATTTTTAGTAGAGATGGGGTTTTACCATATTGGCCAGGCTGCTCTCAAACTCCTGACCTCATGATCTGCCCACCTCAGCCTCCTAAAGTGCTAGGATTACAGGCGGGAGCCACCAGGCCCGGCTTTTTTTGTTTTTGTTTTTTGAGACAGAGTCTTGCTCTGTCACCCAAGCTGGAGGGCAGTGGCACAGTCTCAGCTCACTGCAACCTCTGCCTCCCCAGTTCAAGTGATTTTCCTGCCTCCCTCACTGTCCCGAGAAGCCAGGATTACAGGTACCTACTACACGCCAGCTAATCTTTGTATTTTTAGTAGAGACAGGGTTTCACCATGTTGGCCAGTCTGGTCTCGAATTCCTGACCTCAAGTGATCTGCCTGCCTCAGCCTCCCAAAGTGCTCCGAAATTATAGGCGTGAACCACTGCACCCGGCTCTCTTTTTGCTATTTCTGAACAGACTGTTCTTCCTGTCCCCGTCACTTCCACTCATTGATACATTTCATGCTCTTTATTATTACACAAGAGGTCAGGCACTTCTGTGGCCTTGCCCTTCAAACCCCCAAAGACAAGTGCCCTGGTGTGCCTCCTTTCCTGACCCCAGTCTGAGATACAGTGGGCTTAGGCTAGAGCTGCTCTGAGCAAGGGCCCCACATGGCCTCCAGGCATGTTTTGTTCTTTTTGTTTTGAGCTGGCATCTTGC